CCTCGGTGCTCTGCAGCTTCTCCGTCAGCTCGTCACGCTCAGCCGTCATCGCCTCGAGGTTCCTCTCCACCTCTTCCTTGGCGTCCTCGGTGCTCTGCAGCTTCTCCGTCAGCTCGTCACGCTCAGCCGTCATCGCCTCGAGGTTCCTCTCCACCTCTTCCTTGGCGTCCTCGGTGCTCTGCAGCTTCTCCGTCAGCTCGTCACGCTCAGCCGTCATCGCCTCGAGGTTCCTCTCCACCTCTTCCTTGGCGTTGTGAAGCTCTGTCAAATTGCTGTGGAGTTTGTTGATGGTTTCCGTGGCATCCTGTAGCTTTTGTTCAGTTATGTTGTGGTTGACTTCTAGTATGTCGATTTTTCTTTGTAGGGCCGCGTCGTTGTTGTTTGCGTTCGCAAGTTCTTCTTTTAGATCTTCGTTTGTCTTCTCTACATTATCTATCGTTGTAGTGAGATACGTTATTTCCTTCGTGTGACTCTCGTGTTGAGCTTCTAGTCGTTGGATTTCGTCGTTGGCCAAGTCAATGCCTTTTTTAACTCCATAGCGGTCATCGTAGAGTCGTTGCATACGATTGAAGGGATGTTGGGATATGCACGCAGCGACGGCTTCCTTGCTTATGTCGGCGGCGTGAGTGACGTCGAAGTCGCATGCAAGGCTGCCAAGGGTGAACGTCACGTTCTCAATTGAATCTTTCGGCACCTTGCATGCTGTACTTACCTCCTCCGTAAAGACCTCCATGAGCTCATGTGGTCGGCCGTACAGTACAACGTTCCACTCGTCACCGTTGAATTTCTTGTAGTGGTGAGTGCGGACGGGGGCTGCGTTGAGTCTCCGCTGGAGCATCTCACACTCATTGTTGGCGTCGCGGTAGAGGTCCTCAAGCTCCGCCTTCGCGGCCTCAACCGCCACAAAGTTCGCGGTGAGTGCGCTGCGGTCGAATGCGGCCTCTGAGAGTCTATCCCGCATGCTGCACATCTCTCCCTCCAGCTGAGAAAGCTTGCTCGTGAGAGACGCATTTGCCGTGAACAACACGCCGCTTTTTGCCTCCGCCTCCCTCAGCGCGGAGGACAGACGTTCGCACTCAGCAGCAGTCGTCTGCTGCTCTTTCTTCAGCATTTCCACATATGACACCAACTTCGCCTCCGACTCCCGCTTCTCCACCAACTCATTGGTGATGGCACGCTCTGCCGCGTGTTTGTACGCCAGCAGTAGCAGCTCTACGCGCCGTTCCAGATGTGTCACCGTTTCCCCGTGCCGAGTCTCCATCTCCATCACCTGGAGACCGTACAAATCACACTCGCAACGCAAGTGAAGCACGGATAACCGCTCCGTCTCTAGCGCGTTCACCCACTCATTCTTATGATTCTCCATCTCGGCTTCGTGAAGCCGTACCTGCTCAAGCAGGCAGCGCTCCTTCTCCGCTTGCTCACGTAGAAGCATATCTTTGTGACGCGCCAACTCCACCGCCTGCCGTCGCGCTTCCTCCAGCTCTCGCTCCCTAGCAACGGCTCTGCTCAGGAGCTCCTGCCGCTCGGCCTCCGTCGCGCGCAGCATCTTCTCGCGGATCTCGTTCTTCTCACGCTCCTTCTCCAGCGCCTGTAAATCGGCGGCGCGCTTCTGAGCCTCCGCCTCCAGCAGCCTGAGCTTCTCCTCCAGCTCAGCGATGTATGCGGGGTCCTTGCCCTGGATATCCTTGCGCATCTGATCCATCTGCTCCTCCAGCTCGCGGATGCGCCGGGCGCGCGGGTCCTCATTCACCCTCGTCACATTCACAATGTCGCGTGCGCGCGACGCGTAGCGCAGCGTGCTCAGCGTCTCCTCGTAGTTCATCCCACTCGGGCTCACCGTCGCGATCATGAACGTCTTCGAGTTGCCGCCAAGGGAATCCTTCAGAATGTACGTCAGCTTCGACTCGCGGTACGGCGGCATCGACCAC